AATAAATGTTGAAATGGAGCTTTAGCAGAAGTTCAAGCTGGAAGACTCCGCCCCCTCCGTTCACCCATCGACGTCATGCTCATCCCCGTCCTCAGCCTGGACCTCACCCTGCTATCAGGCTCTGCATAAAAGGATCCACACCCAAACCGTCAGACGCTTCCCAGCTGCGTTCAATCCGTTCATCTGCACGATCTCAGCCCCTCCACAGCTTCGTGATTCCCCGCAGGACCTCGCATCCTGCGTTGGTCCTTTCTTTTTCCCCTCAGACGCTCCCCGGATGCAAGAGATTTCTCCCGGCCCTAGCCTCGATCAGTTCAAGCAGCTTCTCCCGCCTATCTCTCACCTGCCTAGGATTTCACTTACTCCACGATCCACCTCCGAAAAACATAAGCCCTCCGGTCACCTTGTTTACTTTGACCCCTTTGGCCCGTGATGCACGACGCATTACCTCCCGCACAGTCGTGAGACAAGGTAGCTAACTGCGGAGCTCTACGTGGAGGGAACAGCCTGTTTAAAGATGCCGTAAAGAAAAACGACAGAATCAAAAGGGAGGATCTGAGGGAAGCAGCAAAGGCCATCTTCCTTCGCCCGCCAAGCTTCTCTCACTTCCGCATGCCGTCATGGTCAGCACCTTTCCGGATTTCCCCCTCTACGCCCGTCTCAGGCTGTCAGGATGCTCCTCAGATGCAAGCGATTCCTCGATGATTTCAAGCGGCGTCTCCCGCCTTGATGATTTCAAGTAGCGTCTTCCCCCTTTCTCTCGCCTGACTGGGATTTCTCCAATCTCCCGCTCCCTCGCCACCTACTCCACGGTCCACCTCTGGCAAGCAGACACGTGATCCCACTGTTTTCAACCCGCACCGTCTTCTTCACCTCAGCGCCTTCACACCAGTGCCACGCTAAGGATCAGCATGCCTACGATTTCCCTCTCCTGCATGGTCGCTGTCAGCCCGCTCAGCAACACCTCTCTGGTTTTCCCTCACTACGCCTGTTTCAGGCTACCAGGGTAAGACGTAGCATTCTCATGTCTCATTCGAGTCTCGCAATACTTCGTAACGCAGACACTTTTCATTAGTTTATCCCCTCCCGAACACTTTGGCCGTATATACATGCGCCACTCAGGTTCTAATGTTCAAGGACTTTTATCCGAACATTGACTTAGCTAAAACATCGTCACCTGTTTCTCCGAGGCGCCTTTAAACATAACATTGGTTCAGCAGGTGACCAGCTGTTGCGTAAGAGCTGCAAGGCGTACGTTAGAATCCAGTCAGCTTTGGAGGGATGTCTATCGTATAAATAGCAGATGCATCTGCACTCAACTGCGAGCAGTGCAGCCCATCGTTAACGGGTCGTTTGGTCACCGCAGTTATCTATCTGCTTCACATTAGTTATTCGTCGCTAGTCAGTGCAGTATTCTTTGTCGTCGAGCTGTATTATAATTTATGCTACCCAGGCCCGGCAGCGCGGGCGGTCACTTCAGTTGTGTCCCGGCTGTTCTGCAAGCCCCGTGTTTTACCTACATGGCCAACTCTTTTATATTCCTGCATCGATTTGGTACCGGAGTTTCCTCCATCTCCCTTATCGCGTCCTCTGCAGCCTTGTTCTGCAATTAAAACAGTTTTATGTGCTGTTAACATAATCTATTTCAAACGCAACTTGAGCCCCGAGACGTTCACACCAGTCGCCAACGGCGTAGGAGCCGCTAGTATTACGCCAATACTTTGCGTAATTTAACCGACCGAGTAGAGTAGTGCCGCTGGATGCAGGTGATGTTAGCTTAGTTATGACTAATTTCAATACAACCCCTTAAGCTTGTTAACAAGATGCCCGTGACCATTGTCGTCGTGTGTGTTCAGCTACGTAGATTCATTCTGCCTGTTGAAGATTTTAGGTTGTAATTTTGGAAAATCTCTGGCTCCATCTTCTCACGGATCCCAGGTTCTCCCGGCGGGCCGAGTTAAATCACACAGGAAACGAGTGTAGACATCTCAGAATTAGAGTTTAATCCAAAGAAACGCACATGAAATTACAACAGAACTGCAGAACAGAGACATGCATTAATTTACCTGAGTCGAATGGAAGAAGGAAGCAAAGACGTGCTTAGACGTCTTTGGAGAATTACAAGAGCAAATCCGAGTAGTTACTGCTGTGTACAAAGTCTTATAGTAAAGGCGTACTCTAGACTTTTATTTATTCTAATAAGGCGTAGCTTTGCTCATCCAACCAGGAGTTGTCTCTGATCCTCTTTAGAGTTAGACACTCCCTGCAATTTGTTTTCAAGATCAAGCTCAAACTGTCACCTTTATCTAAACAAGTGGAAGCAGAGCTTCTCATCTACTGGCCTGGACTCCTGCTGTTTCAAGGCTTTTCACAGATCAGTGTGAAAGCTGGAACTTCTCCTGATTTCCCACACAAAGGGCAGTTCAAAAGATCTCGGCAAACAATCTACTTTATCTACAGGTAACATAAAGGTTAACAGGACAGAATAAGTTATTAATCTGAGAACTATAATTAGGCTTTCCAATAAAGACATGGCAAGTTTTTAAAACTAGCATATTTTAAATTTACTCCTCATCATGACCTAAACAGTCAGTTCAATCAGCTAATCTCGTCTGGAGCAGGGGTTCGCGTCTCGGCTGGCCTTCTCATACCGCGGCATGAGGCATAAATTGTCATTCACCTAATTGTGGACTTTTACCCTGTTGCGACGCAATACGTGTAGTAGAGTGGCTTGCCAACGTAACATGAAGTCGACTAATAATTCCTCTTCAGTTCGGTTGAGTCTGTCCAGCGCTTCTGCTAATTATTAATCGGCCTTAAATTCTTGTTGACGAGGGCATTGTCCAATCATTGTTTCTAAAAATTTTTGCTCGTGTCCATTCACTACTTATCAAAGCAACCTTAAATGGAACTGGTTTAGTCTCAATGTAAGACGTGTTTTTTTTTTAAAAGCATTCGATTTATAGGAATTTTCCACATGCGCAATGTATAGTGGTTGATTCATATTTCATTCCGGTAGCTCAGTTCAGAACAATCCAGAGGATTTAAATGGTCTGGCAGTCGCTATTCCAGCAGGTGATCCTTTTCGTAGCTTAAGTTTTAGGTTTTTCTTAGCTGAACTCTGGATATTCCTGGTCTACTTGCTTCGCCGCTATCAACCAAGCTGTTCCATATTCTGATGTGTCCTGTTCAAGTCCCATGGGTCGCTTCTCAGTTCTTATCTCAAGATCTCCCAGAATCGGCAGATTATTTCCCAGGCCATCCTGCCACTTTCAGGCTATGTAGTCGGTTCTCTCACTTACCCCGGTCCCACACTCAAATGTGCTCATTCCAGTCTCACTTCTGGGCCAATAGCCTTTAGACTCTTACCAGTCATTCTTGTGGGTCTGTCACTACGGCAACCAGCTCTTGCAGGTATCCTAAAGCTCACAGCCATTCTAGTCTAAACTCCCAACCCCATTGCCAGGTCCGTGAAGTTCATTCGAGTGGCACATCTCTACACGTCAAAGCTTTTTGATGAGTTTAGATGGTATTTTCTTTCTATTTTTCATTTTAAATTCAGTCTGTCGGGCATGGCCCTTTTTTGGGGGGGATCTCCTATGTAGTTGGTTCAGCTTCACCTTCATTTCAGCAGCTCGAGTTTCCAGCTTTTTACGAAATTGTTCCACAGCCATAACCCGTTTCCTGAGGGGCTAACTCCGCAAGCAATCCCTAATTGTCGCTCTCATCAGTCGTGTGTTACTATAAAGCTGAACCTTCACCAGTCCGTTTCATGTCATCAACCGACTTTAATCTTATCTGTTTTTCACCCATGATCATTTTGACTGTTGTTGATGAGCTGTCTCCACCTCTGCCCAGTTCAGTTCAGCCGTTAGACGGCATCGCTCATTTCATGTTTAATCTCAGGTCTCGCTCTGTAATTTATTAGCGAGGGCTCCCTCAGTGCCTAGGTGAGCACTGCGCATTTCGCTGGTGGTGGTTGGTCTTTTCTTGCCTAAGCAAGCATTCTTATCCAGTGATTTGTACCATTTTCCTTCTCACGCCTCCATGCTCCCACCTACATGTCGCATCACAAGCACTCTCCTTCTACCGCATCCTAAGTCTTGTGTCTCTTTATCATCTCACTGATTACTTCCCCTCTTGACTTTTCCTTCTCTCTCCATTGCTAACTTTTTTCTGTTTTTTGGCTTTTCCTCTGTCCCTGCTGCTGGCCCATGTCCCAGCGTCTCC